ATCATGACTTGTTTTGGCGTAGTTCCACGCCCTTCTGACCTTTTCGGGCCCTGTGCATCCGCTTTGTGGAACCCGCTCGCTCTGAGCCTCCGGCCTTCTCAGTTTGGTCCAACTGGGCATAGCTCTGGTGGGGCAGGCCGAACAAGTCTTCGCCTGAATCGGGGAGACGAGCCAAGCTCGCGGAGTCCGGAAGCTCGTGGAACTAGCAAAGCACCCGTAAGCCATGTGAGCCGCTGTCAATGTTCATTGCGCTTCTCAAGGGTGGAACTTTGGTGAAGAACTAATCCCCTTGTTCTCTTTTTGCTGAGTCTGCCCAATGTCAGTCCCCTTACGACCGTAGATGACAGCAACTACTGTGATTAGCCTTGTGGTTCATGTTTATAAATGGGAAACCTCTTTGGGTTGCTTGAAGGGCAATCAACACTCACTTTGGGGGCGCGCTCTCGTTGACGCACCCAGCCATGATTGGACCCAAGCCCCCCCCACCCGAAACACATGTTCCCTTGTCCGCCTCCTGAATAGTCGCCACGATGCAAAATGCACCCTCCCCCCACTCCAAAAAGTCACACAACCAGAACCAGGCTGAGGAATTCGAACAAGTGATTTTCGGTCACCCTCCCATGAAACATGGAACCTCACTGGAAGGTCCTGGAAGACAATCTTGCTCTAGAAGGCACCGCATATTTGGGGGGTAGGGGCGAACTCCTCCAGGTGGTTGGTTTGCTCTGGGTCGCCCTTCAAAATATCATCCACGGGTGGCCACAAACCAGGATCAGGTGTCGCACCTAGGCCGAAGATCTGGCGCTTGCGGTCGTGCACCTGTTCATCTTCGACTCGAAATACCCAAACCAATGTGACATGTGGCCGCCCGAACAAAAGAAAAACAAAAAGGGAAAGGAACAAACGCCGGTCATCTACCCTCGTTTTTTCTTGCTTTGAGATCCTCTTTTCAAAGGGGCACGAGAGAGAATGCGCCTTGCAGGTCTTTGACGGCATCCCCTTTGAGTTCATTGAAAAGGACCCGGGAAGCCGAAGCCCACTCCGGGAAGCCGACCTGGGGCCTACGTCAATCAGGGTGAATGACTCCGGATGCAACCGCAGTGCTAGGCTTGAGGGAACATCCAACTAGTCCCAGGGCTCTGGGTGCCAAATCGTGCGTAATCACCCATCCCCATACCGGGGGTCAGGGGCAGCAAACATTTGGAGCTGCTCAATGCTGTTTCCCTAAGTTCTAGCCTCCGAATCTGGCATCCCAAGCCAAGCCATGAGGAACAAAGGCTGCTTGTAGTCGACTTTTAAGGCAACCTCCATAAGAGTACTTGGATTGGTGGTTAGGTTGTGGTTTCCCATTTACCCTCCGCAACACATCCCCACAATCCAAACCGCCGGTCACCAGTTGCGGGTCACCTGAGGTAGGTTGGTAAGTTGACGAGAAGGTTGGTTGGGACCAATCCAAACCACCACGGGCTACTTGAATTAATCGCCAAGATTGAGGATGCGCCGTTTCGGGAGCTGTGGGGCTGTGGGGGCTTACTGCGCAGCTTTGGGCCCAGCCTCGTACTCCTCCTTGCATCGCCTCGGGTGACAAACTGGTTTTGTGTGTTTGCGTGTGTTTCTCTCTTCTTTTTTTTCGGGGGGGGGGGGAATTTTCAACCTCTTCAGTTCTTCGCTTGGGTTAAGGGAAACCAAACCCAGATCTCAGTTACCAAGAAATTGCTTTGGTCACCAGCCATTCTCCTCAGAGTGATCTGTTGGCTACCTATAGTACAAAGGGAAATGGAATGACTGGGAAAAGACAACCATCACTGTGATCCCCTTTTGGTCGACCCAAAAACGATGAGAGGCGCCCTATACAACTTGCCGCGCTTGTTTATCGGCGACGCGAACCAACGCGATGGACATGGCCAGGGTCAACACCCAGCCGCAAGCATCGGCCCAAACGAACCGATGCGAGGTCTACAGGAATCGGATCCCTTTTCAAGGAGCTGATCAATGTTGACCCCGGGCTAATAAACCCTGGCTGATTAATAGGGGCGTTCGATCCCTTGTAGTGGGATTGATGCGGGATGTAATCCGCAGTACGAGGCCTGGGACGCGTTTCGGGTGGAATTCCCCAAAGGTCAGTCCTAGGCCAGGCGGACTCATGGCTTTCAGCCGTGACTCATGACCCTAAAAGGCCACCACCCCCACAAACAAAAAAACACCCCACCCACCCCACCCACCCCACCCACCCCACCCCCTAAAAAAAACCGAGCAAACAAAAAACAACAACAACAAAACCAGGAGTTGCTAAGAGTTGGCCCTGAATTTGTCGGATTTAAGCTCCACCATCTCAACATCTCTGGGCTAGCGGCTTCAGCCTTTCCACCGCCTGTCCAGGGGAATCAAAGGAGGGGGTGTGCTTTGAGAGAACAACAACAAGTGAACTTACCCATTCGCTTTTGGCTTTGGAAACCGAACCATGGTGGCTATTCAGAACCCAACCAGCACCCCCCAATGGCTGCCGGCACATCGGTTTTGGGCAAAACGATGTCACGTTATGTCTAAGTGACTACAAAAGAAATTGCTGTTAAGTACCACTAATGCGTACTTAGTTCAAATTGGTGCAATGATACAAGTGACCTTCCAGGGTCCTTTGGCGGGGGGGCTTGCAGGGGAAAGGGGAGGCTGGCAAACTTGAGGTTTGGAGGGCCAGTTTGAGGTTCGGAGGGGTTCTTGAGGAGCGTGTCACGGCGTGTCACGGCGTGTCGGGGGTGACCAATTGCTGGCCCATGTGCGTTGAACGGTCACTTATTTGGGATATGAGCGAGTCACCAGCGTGTCCCCCCCCCTCGCGCGTTGCATGTGCAATGACCATACATGTCAGCCCAACCCCTCAACTGGATCCCCTCTGGTATCCTGAAGTGACTTTTCAACAAAAGTGACCTTTCACTGCACTTTGATGTTGGCAAAACATTTATGCGACTACAAAACCAGTTTTAAGCAAGTGCTGGTCAATTGCCGGCACTTCACCCGGGACGCCAATTACCGGCCATCGGGGGGGCCTGGAACATTGATTTTGGAATTGACTTGCATCTGTTTGGAGAAAATGGGAAACCCGACGCAATCGGAGGATTTGTACTGAGAAATGATTTGCCAGTGGGCGCCGTTGGCTGGAAGGCGGGGGAGCTGGTTTGGCACGGTTTGATATTGCTTTAGTAATGGTTTAACGGTTTGGTTCAATCCCAAAGCCGCTAGATTTCCTCTTGGCTTCTTAACCCCCCCCCTCCCCAAACTGGGGGATGTTGTTTTGTGCAAACAAAAAGGGTCACTGAACAACCTCGGAAGGGAGCGCCACCAACACGCGGCTTCGGCTTCCCACCCCTCAATCGCACGCCTGGCCAGGCCGAATGCCTTTGACCATGGGCCCACGCCTCATGCGAGACAGCAGTCTCTTCTTGGCCCGACCGCAAGGAGGGCGGGCCAAACGAGTGAGGGAACCAGTCATCGTCATGGGTGGGCATATGTTACCCCTGAGCTTGTTTAATTTTCATATGGAGTGCTTGAAGACAAAGTATGCCAGTGAGAAAGAGGGTCAAACAGATTTTCTGACTGTCAGCTTCCCTCTAGCTAGCTGGTGGTTTGGAGGTTGGAGGGCGGCCTTCCCAATAGCTTCCGCAACATGAAGGGTAGCCCCAAGCCACCAATCCAAGCCACTAATTGTGGAGCCCGAACCGTCCAAGATGGTTACACTTTGACTTACAAGGTTTCGAAAGGCCTTAGTATAACCACCACAACAGGCCAGGTAGCAGAAGCGCCTAAAATCACCGACAGGGATCAATTTTTTTCGCTGCACATCCTCTGGGTCACCTGAGCCTCACCGCTCCCTCGTCACCTGAGCCTCTCGGGCCTTGGGCCCCCCAACTCCTCATAGTCCCGGCGGAACTTCTCCACGTCTCGCTTGAAGGAGTGCACCGTCCTCGAGAAGCGCCCGGAAATCTCGTGCTGAGAGGCTAGGTCCTCCAGTGGAGGGGTTGGAATAAGGGTACCCGATTTTTTCTGTGGCCTGTTTTAGTAAGGGAACCCTCCCCCAAAAAAGAAACGGTAAAAGGGCACTGGGGGACCTAGGCTCCTGATAAAATGGCAGATGATGTGTGTCAAACATGAGTTCGGTAGCATCAACAAGATGGCTGGTTTGGAATGGTTGGAGTGGTTGTACCAACAAAAAGCAACACACACGCACATGGATCCCAAACCATGCTTCTTGGAGACTCTCCTTCTGAGGGGCCACACTTGCTACACTTGTTGGTTCCATGGGAGGTCCACCAAAGTTGTCAGACCTAGTGGAACAGGTGGGTGTAGCTAAATCAAGCTCCCAATACACCAAACACATATTTCAGGGAGGACTCGGGGGGCGGATGGGAAAGCAGGGAGGGCCGTGGGAAGTTGCGGCCACTGTTACAGACCTTCCCACTTCGCCACTTAAAGGACCAACCGCTCATTGCGAGCCAGACGGATCGGAGCGCAAAAAGTGACCACTCTTGGGTGAAAGGGAGAATGAAGGAAAACCGAGCGGTCAAAAGCTACAAAGCTAATGGGCAGTCACCAGTCAATGGTCTGGGCATGAGCCTTGGGATGGAAACCGTCGCTCCAGTCTGGGTCCCCCTGCTTGATGAGGTTCCGCTTGAACCTCGCGATCGCTTTGATGAGAAGCCGTGCCAGTCCCCACCCCAAAAAGGTAGCTGGGTGAACAAGCGTCTGGACAGAACGAGTATCCATCCCCTTTCAGCTGGGGAGACTCAAAATCTATGCGCTATCGCACGTGTCTTACAAACTGCTCGTTGCCCCTTTGATTCCACCAAAGAGATCCAAAAAGGGTTTCAGAAAGACGAGCCCGAGCAAAACAGGATCTGGAGGGTCACCAAACACCTGGGGTTCACAAAGGCCAAGTGTGACCATCTTGTTGCAAATGGCCGACATTAGCCAACTCAATCGAGACGACGATCGCTCGCGCCCGTTTTGCTGTAGCTAGCGAGGCGGCGTCCCGTACAGCAAGGAAGCGACGTTGTCATCTGTATGGTACATTGCTGGCGCCTTGGCTGGTAAGCGGCAACTTTGCTTCGGTGAAGGGGGTTTCTCAAGATTGCTTTAACCACTTAAAAGGGAGTCCACAATATTGAAAAAAACCATGTGCAAGTCATTACTGCAACTGGAGTGCTGAAACGGGAAAGCTGTTCTGTGTGATGGATTTCTGGCATTTAACCCTTGCCTTGCCAGCAATTTTCAGCCTCTTTTAGAACGGAAGGGAATGATCAAGAAAAGCTAGAAACCAACAAATTGTGAGCGCCCTATCAGGGCCTCCATGTGCTGGAAACGCCACATGAACTTCTGAAGAAGGCAATCAAATCGAGATGTGCGCTAAATGAATGTTCTCTCCGAGTCTGCGGCAGCTGACCGCCAAATCTATCTCACAAATGAATTGGACATTGGGAAGTCTGCTGTGGTGTTTTCCTTCCGACGTTCCTTGGAAACCATCTAGAATCTCAAACAAGGGGTCCCCAAGTTCAGGACAGGACCTGTCCGGATCAAGGCTCTCATTTGGGATTTTCAGGGCGCAAAACGGCCAATCTGCGCCCTTTGAATCCCCCCCCGCCCTCAAACTTTACAGATCACCCCAACCCCTCCGCAAATCATCAAGAGTCTTGAGTGTTCCTCAGAAAGGCACCCAGACACTGAAACATGCTTCGTGTTGGCTCCCAAACCTTCAAAAATCCGAGACTTGTTTGACATTTCAAGTCATTTCCTGGAATCCCATGTAAACATGGGAGCAAAAAACAGTGTAGGAGCAAGCAATGCTGGCGCCTGGAAAACGGGTTACCTAGAAAGCGTCCGCCTGTGGATAGTTTGATTGAACAATTAAAAGGGTCCCTGTAGAAACCCTGGACAAATGAGGGGTCCCTTGTCGTTCCGCCACACGAAGGCTTCCTGCTGCACTGTGCGCTACGGGGGCCCTGCAAGTTCGCATGGTTTTTTGCCACACTAGCGACGACCAAGTCCAATCCAAGGTTCGTTCATCGCTTCAAGCTGTTCGTTCAGCTTCTGCGATAAGACCTCGCGCTTTTTGGTGCACTCCGATTTCCCAAGCGATTGTGGTTAGTCAGGTTGGTCAGGGGTTAGAGTTTCCTGTGTGTGTGTGTTTTTAGGGGATCTCCGAAATGGCTTCAGTTTTTGTTTGGTTTCCTTTTAAAACCCACCGAATCAGCCACCCACTTGGGATTCAGGTCCCGCTGCTCAACCCTGGGCTCGAACATACCTCCCAGCTGGCGGCTTCTCTAGGGTTGACACCACAGCCCAGTCCAAGGTGACATGTTTGAGCGGCCCGGAATCAAGTATCAAAGCAGTTCTTTGTCTTCGCAAAGCTTCAAACCACCCCCTGTCGATCACTGTCGGTTTCGTGGAAAACGGTCCACCAAACAACAGCCCTACAAGGTCCATGGATTTTTGGTTGTTTTCGGGGCGGCTGGTCTGCGCTTCCCCGTATGGTGGTGCGGGGGGCGCTCGGGCCTCGCAAATGGAGCCCAAGGATCGAGCCATCCGTCAAAGGAAGCTCCTTCCAACACCGGATCTAGACCCATCCAACTAATAGAAAATGTCACCCACCAAGTAAATATGCGGGACACCCTATGAATCAACCTGGGGTACGTATTACTTGGATCTGGAGTTCCCATTAGCCACTGTGAGTTCCTTCCGTTAGCTTCCCTTCTGTGCAGAAGCCACCCATTCCGCTGCCCTCCGATCGATAGCGATCGTCCACCATGAGAGTCATCATCTAAAACAAAAACAAAAAAACATCCGTAAAAAAGAAAAAAACATGGCATTCCAAATGTTAAACCCGAAACCATGCAAAGAGCCAAACAAAAGGTCAGCCGCTTAGTCTGGCTTTCCAGCCCCCCACAAAAACTGATTCTTCCAGTGGTACTGTAACCAACAATCAGCGGTTGGGACCCGGGTGGTTCCAAGCCAAAAGCCGCCCAAGGCGCCGCCACTTCGGCCTGGTACCCGGCAGCTTCGATCCTCGGATGCGGTCGCGCGCAGGCAGTGACCCTAGGCCTCGAACCCCCCTGCGAAGAGCGACCACGTAGTTGCCATGGGACAATGGTGCAAACATGTAAGAAGGCAAAAGGCGAGCTACGTCTGGCCATGTCCAAGGGATTGGAATGGATTGATGCCCCCGACCAACCCCCAAGTTAACCTGTTAGCGGACCATGGCACATGCCCACGTTGAATATCCCCACGCCCAAGAGAAGCTTCAGAAGCCATGTAAGGGGCTCTCCGACCTTTTCAAGAAGAAGCTCGTGGTTCCCCAGCCCTCGACAACACGTCATGTTCTCACCGATCATCTATAATCCGAAAGCAACATAAGCAACATGAGCGTGAAGCGCAAGCCCTGCGAGCCCTTTCGTCCTTGGTAATCAACCTGGTGGATCAATTGGGGGGGAGGGGTGAACCAGGGCTTTATTAATCCAAGGGGCTCTCATTAAATTAATAACATACCCCTTGCTTCCGACTCCCTCATGTGTATAAGCCTTTTGTCCTCGATTCTCTCCTCAATGCCCTCTTGAATGGAAAGCCCCACTTTCAATCCACCAAGGCTGTATTAACCAACTGGGTTCCGTTCATCCGTTGTCAAGCGCCGTTTGAACAATCCGTTGGTTCGTTTCCTCTACACCCACAAACCCCGGCCTTGCTGTACACTGTTGGTTCATTTGGAAGTAGCAGAACACCAGCCCGAAAATCGCAAAGGACGTGCCCCACGTAAGGCATAGCATTAACCATCAAACTTCGCCCAAAGATTCTGGCAGATATTTGGCCTACAATCGCATAAAGAGCCTGGGGGCCCCCATACAACTCACAAGGCCCCTTCCAGAAAATGCTGTCTTCCAAGGACCCCCTAGTCAGGTTCCATGTGAATGGAAGAATAGCTTGTTTTGTCTGGGCACCCGCTAAGAAAAATGAGAAAGTATGTCAGTGATAGTCAAAACAACAAGGAAACGTATAAAACATATTCCCTTCAGCAAATGGAAGTGTTGAAGCACAACAGGTTTCAGATTCCAACATGGGAGAACAACGTTTCTAGGGCACATGTTTAAACCTTGCTGGTGCTCAGGGAATGACCGCCGGGTTTTGGGAATGAGCCGTTTACGGTTTCCTGAATGAAGGACACCACCTGGATGGTTTTTGTAGGGGGTCATTCGGCCGTGGCTCAAAAACATGTACCAAAATGCTTTTTCTGTGGTCTATTTTGGTAGGGGAACCCTCCCAACCAAAAAAGGGGTGAGAAAGGGCACTGTTGGGATTGAACCGTTTGGGTATTTCCGAATCCAGGAAACCATCGGTTCTTGTAGGGCCTCATTTGGCTGTGGCTGAAAAATATGTACCACAACCTCCATTTGCTCAAGTCCCCTGGGAAAATGTTTATTTCCAGTAGTGATGGATTCCCTTTAAAATCAACAGGGGAAATATAAAAAACATATTGACCTAATAGAAGAACATGCCACTCTCGAACCGAATGCCCTGGCGCCCGGTCTCAGTCGAGAGGCTCCGCCTCCTCGTGGCGCAGCCGGAGCTGCTGGGTCTCCGGGGAGTTGGGGGCCACCTGCGGATGTTGCGAAACGAGGCCGGGGGGGCGGGGGGTGGCATGGGGATGGCTTAGACCACCATGAGGATATATAATTTAATTGTGTTTCTTTCTTTTTGTTGCTTTTACGTTTGGATTAAACCAGGGTACACTACTTTGTCCATTTAAGTCCTTCTACCATCTGTTTTTCTTGTGGTCTTGGGGGTCCCAGTGAAAACAAGAAGAAAAAGCACGCCGCGGGCTCATTTCGGCCCTTGAAACCCGTGTCGCACCCCACCCCCACCCCAACCCCCCCACCCCGCCCCGGACCCCAGCGCCCCACTCCGCCCTGCGCCTGGCACAGGGAGTCCAGGTGCTCCGAGAGCTCCTGGAAGGCCTGCCTCAGCTGAGCGCAACTCAGGCGCCGCCGAACCAGGGGGCTGCTTCACAGGAAAAGCCGGCCGGGTCGCGGGTTTTGGTCGTTGGGTTTTTTGTTTGGTGGCTGTTCTTTCTTGAAAAAATAAATAAGCATACATATATATATATATATATAAACGGAAAGGGACAATGGAACCAAGCAAAATCAGGGTTGAGTTGGGAATTCCAGAGGACACGCAGGAAACCACTACAAAAGGAAGGCAGAATCAGGGAATGTTACACCTAAGCAGCGCCCAGAACCTAGATCTACCAAGATTGAGTATTCTAAAACGGTTAGGACAGCTCTTGCTAGAGCTGCCTCTCAGACCAAAGTGAGTCCAATTCTCCGCCGGGCTGCAAACTCGACTCCAAGAGGCCCTGCTTCTCCTCCAGCATCGCCCGCAGCAGATCCTGGCTTCATATTGCGGGACTGGCCCTGCACACTTTGGTGTACTGAAATGATCTTCCCAAGAAGCTAAAAGGCCATGTGACAAAGGGAAAGTGAGCAGGGGAAAGGTATGCATCCCCGACGATCCCATGTCCCGTGGGAACAATCACATCTCTAATGAGCCGCTAGAATGGGAGCTCAATATGGGCATGTGTCAAAGTAGGCGATCCCCACAACTGTGGTTTTCCATTGGTTCCCTTAAGTAACACCCCCAAAAAAGGATACCCCTAACAAACACAAAAACACTTCCAGCCTCACGTGGGGGAGACCTGGGTGTTCGACCAACCTACCTTCCCAACTCAAGTTCTCGCTTGAACCTTGATTTCCGTGCTTTGGTTTGGTTATTTATCTTTCTGTTTGTCTTTTAGAGGGTGGCCGAACATGAGCAAAACACAACAAAACAACACCGAAAGACAAAGACACACAACGCCAGGAACAATGAAGGAGTTCTGGAATCCGTAGTGCTCGGCAACTGGAACCCTCACTGACCAAGCAAGAGGCATTCGCAATAACTCCAGCCCGGAACCGCTAAAAGTGGAGCGAAGACTCGCATGCTCAGGGCCTTTCTGGGTACATGTTTAAGTATGGAAAGTATCTAATGGGAACCCAATGGTTGAACTATATTGGGGGGTGCCGGTTTTTGGTGGGGATTAGTCACTTTTGGAGGGAACTTTGGGCTCGTCAACGCACCAAGGCATGGAGGATCATACACAAATCTCAGAATATGTGGGACATCAAAACTTGGAACAAGGCATCTGCACTGGAGCGCCAAGCAAACTTCCAAAGCGAGCTCGCCAGATCCACATGCAAAGGGTGCAGAGTTGCCCCAGAAAAGCGCGTTGCCATGGAGCCTGACCAGTTGGATTCAGGGTTGGACCCGTACCACCAGTGAACATCCCCCACTTAAATAGACTGGGTGGTGAATTCACCTCCAAAAAGGTACCATGGGTTTGGACCCACGGCCATGTCGCCATTTGACGGTGTCCCTTCATCCGACATCCAGCCTCCTTCTGGAAGCGATCGGACTCGCGGCCCGCCGGGGCCTGCCAAAGGCCCGATCGTCGCAAGATTGTTCGGCCCAAGGAAAAGCGGCACCCCAAAATGGGCGGCTTTCCTTTTGTTTCCCTGTCAAACCAACGCCAAGAAGGGTGCCCTCAAAAAAAACAAAAACTTGCATGGCCTCAATGGTGGTCAGATCTCTGGGTGAACGGTGATATGGACATTTGAGGTAGAAACTTGGCACGACCGCAATGACAAGTTCCCATCCCTGAAAGTGGTTTGCCTTTGCAAGGTGAGCAGCCCTGCAACTTCTGGCACTCTGGCCCTCATAAAATCTCTGGCCACCGTGGCTATGGCACCTTCAAGCCAGGAGGGTGTTGGGCCTTTCGATCAACCCGCCGGATCCATAGGGGGCGGAAGCTGCAGCCCCCCAAAAAGGTGAAGCTTCCCCTCGAAGAAGAACACCCCTATTCATCGATCAGGGGTTTGATTCATCCTGGGGCCTATGATTGATGCTCTAACGAAAGAAGCCCTTACTTCACCACATGCTTGCCTCGGGAAGAGTCATTCCGTTCTCTTGGCGCACATTGGTTTTCTAAGACACGTTCGACTTGTCGGCGCCTTGAAGGGCACCAGCTGATGCGGCAAGTCCTGGGAATGCATCGACCGAACACCATGCTGACAACACACCGCTCCCTGGGTCCAGACTTGTCGTCTCGCCTAGGGAAAAACAAACAAGAAAAAAACACGGCAAAAGGCGAAAACCTACTGTAAAAGGTAAGCTAAGCCTGGCCATGTGAAACCAAGGGGTGTACTCACCCCTGTCTTTAGGAGCACTACCACCATGTGGCCCAAAGAGGCCTTTGGGATTCGGGCCCTTTTCGCACGAGGCAAAGTAGTTTGGCTTTTCAGGCTCCAAGTTGATTGGCACAGCAAGTAATGGAAGGGTTGCTCCCAGTGGTTCCGCACAGCTGCATATTTCAACAGCAAAGATTGTATGGAAGGGTATGGAAAGGTTGGGACCCGGTCATTTCCAACTCGCCACCTGCATTCTGACCTCCAACTTAGCTTTTGGCTGAAAGGGCCCAACCAACGGCAGGGTGGGGGGGGTTCAACACACATCCTTCCATTTCCGTAAGCCACCTGGAAAAAGTCTAGGCATAGATTCCCTTTGAAGCCAGCCAGGGAAAATCAAATGTTCATTTAGCAAATGGGTCAAACCCCCATACCCAGTGAACATCAACCAATCCCCACTAACATCGGTTCAAAAATGGGTGGTGAATTCACCTACCAACCAAAATGGGATCCCATTGGTGCTGACGGCCATTTATAGCAAATGGGAGCGGTTTTCACCCGCGCGCCACGGCCCGTCCTCATAGCCACCCCCAAAGCCGCCGAAGGCGTCCTCATGGTGCCACCGCCGCCGCTCCAAGTCTGCAGGAGGCCAAGCGGTCGCCTGACCGCGGACATCCGCTTGCGAGGCGGATTTTTTTGGCGCGAGTGAGCGCGAGTGATCGAAAAAAGGCGTCTTTAATTGGGGACGCCTTAGGTCAGCGTGTGGTTATAGGCTTAGGCAATACTGAATGCAAAATAACCCAACTAGTGTTCTCCTTGCGTGAGGGGGAGGGGTAGAACCACATTGTAACGATCTGGGCGGTATACGATTCAATCGCGATTGCATCATGCAAGGCGCGGAGTACTGGACCATTCCATACATTGAGGCCACCGGAAACCAGTTGGAGCCCGAGGATTCATCTCCCATTTGCCAGGATCCTGTGAAAAAACGGGCTCCCTATATTTCCATCCTGCAAAGAGGATGTCTCCCCGACATGGTCTGGTACACAAGGGCCAAAAAGCAAGTCCCTTGCCCATCAGGCTGTGCGTCAAACCACCTTTGCGAAAGGAAAGCTGTGGAAACATGTGTCCAACGCAAACCAAACTATGCACGGCCAAGAGGATGCACGACTGGTTGAAAGGCAAGTCAGGTGACTCTTGTCCGGCCTGAGTTTCATGCCCCCAACGCATGCAACAGTGGGTGTCATTTCTAAGCTTACCCCCAAACGGGTGTAAACTTCACAGGGACACCTAGATGAGGGCCCGCCAACGTGTTTCTCTGGGCCAAGAGTCTGCTCTTGGGTTTCGCCCCCTAGTGAGTTGATCCCTCAGCCAGCGCCTGTTTTCCAAAGGCCAAAGAAAGCAACAAGCCCAAACAGCTTGGGAAAGTAAGTGAAGGATTCCAACTCTGGCTCCACAAGCCTCAAACTTAAGAATGAGGTTCCACACCCTGGTCCCAGCCACTGCTTGTTGGTTTCCGTTCTTGGAATCTTGGACATTGGAAAAAGCGTTCGTTGGGGGTTGGCCAACCCGTCCGCTGCCCGAAGGAGCTGGGAATCCAGGTCTACCCCATTGAGGCCTCGACCAAAAATCACTCAGGAGGAATAGAAAAAAGTAAACTTATTTTTAGTAGCGCTAGGTTCTATTTAGAATCAACCGGATGTTTAGCTAATATCAAGCGAATGCAAGCTTACTAAAGTAATCGTCGGATTGATCTGGAGCATCGAACTCGGTGGCCCCCCTTCTAGGAAAATCACATCTCTACATGGGGGTTATATTCGGGTCCACTGTTTCCCTCCGAACACAAGTGGTCCACGTTTGGGGGTTCCTCCATTCGGGCCCGGAATCCGACGTCGTAGCATCAGAAAACCCCCGGACTCCCCGACGAACAAATTACCTCCAAGTGCTCCGGTAGCGCCAGGTCCCGGCTGGCATCCTCGATGAGCCATGCCCCCAAAAAAACGGATTGAAAAGAAATGCATGGTTGGATCCATTTTTTTTTGGGGGGGGGAGAACCCCCCATTGGGTGGTTGTAGGGGGAAGCCACTATGTTTGGGTTCCTCAATCTTAAAACATACCCTCTGGTTTCAGAATTGGAGGTTTTTGCTTTTTTTTTGGCAAATGAGAAGCATATCTGAAAGTGAAACCTCATCATTTTTCGACCTAGCTGACCTGAAAAGGACACATCTGAAGCGGGTTCAATTTTGTGGCGACGACAAGCTGGGACACCTCAAGCTCTTTGGGGCCAGGAAACGGGTATCATTTCTTATTTGGCCAACAAAGCTCCCAAACTTTTTGGGCCACTGACAAGGTCCAAACCCAAGCTTCAAGTCCAGAAACTCAACGAGTCATACATTCAGTCAAACTGGCAGCTGTCAGCCTTTGGGGGAAGCCTCCGGCCAAAGCCGTTTCGCTGCAACTCTTTGCAGAACAATTCGACGGCGACCAGTTCGGAGGTGGTTTCAAAAGCTAGGGGAACCCCGAAGAATGACTTTCCTTTTGGTTTCCCGGCGAAACTAACCAAGACGGGAACCCTCAAAAAAAGCACACACACACACACAAATGTTGGAGGTGTCCTGATTAAAAATAGCAGCGCCAGAGAAAAGGAACCCCTTGCTGGGATTGACCATCTTCATTGGGAAAGCCATCAAAGAAAAGGATACCACCGAACCACTGGTCTGCAAGTAGCAACTGTCAGAAGTCACAACAAGGGGGCTTTGTGCGCTTTGACTAGTGTGGCAACCCGGGAGTGGCTGATCCGAAGCCTGAATCCTTAATCGGCAGGACACCATCTAACACAAGACATAAGGATTGAGGATTTGCTCGCACCAAGCCACCCAAACCTGCAGAAAAAAAAGAACCAAACCGCAAGGGAAACCAAGTTCCACCTGGCACAGAGGCGCACCTCCTGCGTGAATTGAAACCCCAAAAACGCTCTCAAAGTTTGTAGTGTCGGTTATGGTTACCACCCAAAAAAAGAATAAAAAGAAAAAAAGGTCCAAAAGTCCCGCAGAATAAACATCCAGTTCAGGAACTCATCAAAGCTCGGACTCCAACTTGTGCTTCCGGGGCCCCCGGCGCTTCCGGAGCCCAGGGATCGCGGCCCCATCGCCCCGAAGAAGTCCAGGCCGTCCGAGCCCATGGCACCGTCCTGGACGAACGGAGCGAGCCACCTGGACGAAACCGCTCCTGGTTTTCGCTGGTTCCAGCTTTGTGGGTCCCAGCTCCTGCTAGCGCCATGGGTCCCAACTATCTGCTTTTTGGGCTACAGTACCAAGAGGATGCTGGGCCCCGGCTCCTTGGAAAGTAGCTTGTTGGACAATGGAAAAAAGCTGTTGTTGGGGGTGCTGGTCCGGTTGTTTGTGCCTTGTGCGTCCCTTGAAGTTTTTGGTAGCTTCGCCCCAAAAAGCAAGCCCAAATTGACATACTAAGTTGTGAGTTTTTGGGTAACGCCCTTGTTTTGGGTCAAACTCCGAAGCAATAGGCAGCCCAAGTGTTCCCCACATTTGTTGGTAGCCATACGCAGCTATACTGTGGCTCGGCAAAATCCGCTTGCACCATGAAGCTATGTATACTGTACCAATGGACCTAGCAACTTGTGCAGGATTCTAACCATGCAGTGCCGGAGCATCGGCAAAAACTGACCGACCAAATGTTGGAATCTAAAGGGTGCTTGCACACTCTTAGCCAGACTTAGACCCCTTGCAACAGCTAACTTCTTGCTCAGCACGCCAACTGCAAAAAATGAAGGTGGGGTTGTTCCCCAAAACAAGGCTGAGGCTTTGGAAGGATCCAGGTAGACCCCCCCCTTCAGCACATTGAGGCCGTGGGATGAGCGAGTCGTCTGCCTGGAACAGCGGCACCGTCACCTTCCGCTTCCCCGGCCTCGGGAAACCGGTCTGGGTCTGGAGGGCGTCTCGGAAACCACAAGTGACCCAGACCCTGCCCGGCTTGGACAGCGCCTGGGGATTTTGCACAGACAAAGCAGCTGTTGGGGGTGCCGGTTTTGGCGTCCCTCTCAGCAAGTAAAAAAGAAATGGGCTAGCTAGCACCAGAAAAGGGAAGATGTGGAGGGAAGTCAGGGGATGGAACAAGTTGGATCGCTTGCGCCAAAGGACTGGGCTCCCGCCTTCCATTTGCGTTTCTCGTCAAGGCGTATCAAGCCCCCATGCCAGGGGGGGGTCGGTAGAGTTCAAACACATCTGTACCGTCTTTACCAGTTCTGACAGCCTTGGCCATCTAAATCGCCCATGCAGCGGTGGGCAACAAGCTGCGCTGGTGCTGCAAGTGGTTGTCTTACCTGTGGCTTTTTGAGGATAGTTGCTTAACTTTCTAGGGATTGGCATTGTCCCCCCGAATGTCCGCCCAGTGGTGCTTTGCATAATTGAGGCGCCTCAAAACCTCCCGCATGGACACACAAAGGCTATGTTGCAACCACCTTTTTTCTGGTCTCGCTTTCTTAGGGCTTCGCAAGCTGCAAAAAGTGCTTTGTGCGTCCGTGACACACCCAGAAAAGATGCCGTGCTAGTCCTCCTTCTCTCTAAAGGCACACCTCAAAGGTTGCCAAGCTGCTCGTTGATGGTCATGGTGTACAGGTTGCCATTTGCAGACCACATGTTCGAGCCTGCAAGGCGCAAACAATTCTGCAACCCTTAAGCTTGAAAGACTTGAGCAACCGACCCTGTCCCTAAGCCCCTAGAGAAGCGCAGTTGCATGCGCTGCTTCAGGCGTCGCCTTGCGCGCATGCTGAGACTGTTCTACATTCGCAGCGAGTCGCTTCTTTGAAACTTCTCTGCCGCGCTCTTTAGCCTGACCCTCGGCAAGTTTCCCAAAGTCAGGCCCCAAGTAAGTGGGGAGGTGTCCGAAACTGGAACTCACCGCCAAACGCCTAAAACCAAACATAGCCAACCACCAACAAGCACCAACGATTAACGCACACAAACAACCACCCGAAGAGCCGATACCTACTTCAAACCATTTGGGGGGCGGTAGGTTCCTGTGTCCCCTTTATACATCACCCCGAAGGAATCCTCACTTCGAGATTTGCTTAACAAACCCTGGTCTTTCTGATTTGCGGTCAAGGTTAGTGAGGATCATGAGCTCACCCCAAAATAAGAGGGAGCGGGATCACTTTTGTGGAAACACCTTTCTATGAATCTGCTAGCCGAAATCCGGGGCCAACATGTCAAAACCCAACGATTACAAAACAAAGTGCGGATGCGAAACAGATTGTCATAAAAACCAATACATCGAGCAATGCAATACACAATATTTCCCGCAACAATTGCCACGCAAACGCATGGGTGTCGTGTTTTCTGGGTGATCCCCAAACAAGCAACTTCCGCCCCCCCCCCCCCCGGCCAAAAAAAAAAAGCCTCACCCCCCCCCCCCCGAAGCCCCCCGGCGATGGAGCATCCACAAGTCTCTGGCCTTGCGCGTCTGCCAGCGCCCGGGGCGCCGAGGCCGGCGTTGGGCGCGACACGGCGCAGGGATTCCTCGCGGAGTCCGCACGGGTGCGGGTGGAGGGGGTGGGTTGGGTGAGTGGGGGCTGGGTGGGGGTGGGTCGGATGAGTGCTCTCCAGAACGGTCCAACCGATGCAAAAGAACCGAGCCTCAAAAATCACATCTTGGAGTCCTATATGTTTTATGGCCCCCGTTAGCTGCAAAGGGAATTGTCACTACTGACTACTGGATGCACGAAACACATTCCGCAAAGTTCAACGGAATGATTTGATTCCCCCACGTAAATACCAAAGAATGGCTTCAACCATGCCCCTAAGAAGCCATATGATTCGATTCCCCCACGTACATACCAAACAATGGTTTCAACCCTGGCTTCGAAGTGGTGCGAAATGGATTTCGTCCACCCACAGTATGTGAGTGCCTTTTCTTTTGGGGGGTGGCTTCCCTCTGTGGGATGCCAATTTAAATTTGGCCCACATTCGGGGGATAAAGAAACCTAGTTTTATGATTATGTTTCAAATATTTAGTTTACCCTAAACTATGAACTAGTTATGGAGGAGACCCTGGCAAAAGGGAAACCAACAGGATACCGCCAGTTGAGGGAGCTCCAATGTACGATACCAAATTTTGTCATGATCGTAGAATCATAGGATCATCTTTGCAAGGTTTAACTTATACTCTGCAGTTCCCCGAAAGGACGCAGGACACGACTGATTGGTGGCAACTTTAGTGAGTTCCCGTTCAAATGAACCATAGGCCAGGCTGCAAGACCTGATTCCAAGGGGCCCCCTCAATTTCCTGTTGAACCTCTAAAAATGGGCGGTTTTCGCAGAACCTGCTGCAAATTGCAACCGTTCCAGGGAAATTGCAAGCACAGCTCACAGGTTCCATGTCTTGTCCCCCCGTCGCTCATGCCCAAGACCACCCCCACCCCACCCCACCCCACCCCACCCCACCCCACCCCACCCCACCCCACCCCACCCCACCCCACCCCACCCCACCCCACCCCACCCCACCCCACCCACCCCACCCCCCCACCCCACCCCACCCCACCCCACCCCACCCCACCCCACCCCACCCCCCCCACCCCACACCCCACCCCACCCCACCCCACCACCACCCCACCCCACCCCACCCCACCCCACCCCACCCCACCCCACCCCACCCCACCCCACCCCACCCCACCCCACCCCACCCCCCCACCCCACCCCACCCCACCCCACCCCACCCCACCCCAAGCAGAGCAAAACTCACAGGTCCGAGGCGCGGCAATGTGAGCGCTACCGCGTCCGGGGTGCCAGGCCCCACCTCCCCTGCGCCATTGATGGCCGCCACCCGGCAAAGATATCCTCAGCCCGAACCGGCCGCGTGGGCGGGGGGGGGGGTCGCTCTGCTTGGGTGTGAGTGACTTGTTTCGGGCTACCTTCTTTTGTGGTTTTGAAGGGAAATCAAGAGGAGTAAGGGGGGTACTGTACCTGAGCAAAGACTTTGAGTTAGCCTTTTGTTGGTGCAGCCGGCCTTTGCTCCCAAAACAAGACACCCTTAGGTTGTCCCTATTCTTCTTTGCAGCTTCTCAACGCAAACTGAACCCCAAGAATAGTCATGTGAAACAGAACACGTGCCTGAACAAGTACAAATGGCAGGATTTGGGCATGACTCGAAGTGAGGGCATTGCAATTTGCAGGGTTGGACGAGTCAATCCCTCGTGAAACAAAGTCTGTTTAAGCCACGAGTTGCTTTCGCAACTTGTTAGCCAGACATCGGAACTCCGCCGAAAAGGAAAGGGCGGAAAGAACTCGGCCAGAAGCCGCCGAGTTCAAGAACCCAGAAATACCCCAACGCCCCAAGATTCGTGGGCCGGTATGCTCAAAAAGGCCTTCTTTTTGTATGGCTCTTTGAGCGGCCCTGGCGGTTTGGAGGTTCGGGGCACCTTCCCCTTTGCCTTGAGGAGCTCGGCGTTCAACTCCCCAAACCACCAATCCAAAGTACTTAAGAGGGGAGCTGAATGAAGGCTCTGGAGGAAGCCCGAAAAGAAGCTTGAGGTGTGCGGGTCTTTTGATCGGAAGCCAAGGCTCGTCCGATGGAGGGGTCCAAATCTTCCGTGTGGATCTCTGCGCGCTGCAGGCCTGTGGCGTTGTGCTTCACGTGGCCCACCTCCAGCCACTCGTTGGGATCCGCGTCCTTGGGCTCGAAAACACGAGCTTTGGGCTTGCGATGTTGCATACGTTTTCCCAAGAGGGAGGTACACCATGAGGCGGCCCTCACAGCCTGGCATCTAGCTGTTTACCCAAAGCAGGATAGACTTAAATGGCCGGAAGTCCGCCAGTCATGCCCCTAACCTTCAACCCAGGTTTTGATTGTGGTGCTGTTCAAGCCCCGACTTAACCCCACGAATAATGTGCACAAGCCCTGCAGGAAACAAACACACACAAAAACAGCACGAAACCAAACAAAAGGCTTTTTGGGTTTGTTGGAGCTTTTAACGATGGTTTTGGAGTAGGGCCGGAGTAGGGGTCAAAATGCTTACCGAGGAAGTACCTCTTGGGCCCAGAAAGGTCCCTCGCAAAGTCCTTGGGTTCCGAGCAGCAACCCGAGCATGTTTCTTTTCCCGAATCGGTGATGAAACATCAGGGGCTCTGCCTCATTTCAAATGGACATGCTACTCACTTCTTGGGACTGCCAAAAAGTCCAAACCTTTTGTTTACCACTAAATTGGTCCAAGCCATGAAATTTAAAGTTTAGGAACTCAGGGAGATTTAAAAAACAAACTACATAGTTAGCCTACGCTAAAATAAAAACAACAGCGAAGGGTTTTGGAGAGGAGACCCCCACGAATCTAAAGCAACACCAAAAGGACTTCTTAAGAATTCACCCGTGGCACTGGCAGCGCGACCTTTGGCGTCGCCAAGTGTCTGTGGCAGAGAAGGGTCTAACCCAGATGCGGTAGGCAACTAAGCTGGCACCGCCATCGTACATCCTCGGGCGAAGTCGATATCACTGGCTCATTCATAACCCAAAAAACCCTCGCAGTATTGTCCTTTTACGATTTCAGGGGCAGCTCCTTTGTGGGTTACCCGGCATTGGAATCACTGGGCAGGATGAAAATCATGTTTGATAACAAGGGATGCCTCTCCAAAAGCAACTGGACAAATCAGGGGCAATTTGTTTTGCAGCTTTCAATTGGCCTTGCCGCGTTTGTTCAGCGACCCTGGAAATACTTGAAGCTTTTCTCGGCTGGTGGAATTGATTTTTAATTTTGAGCAAAGAACCCACCAAACAGTGGGTGAACAGCTTGGCTGCTTTCAGGATCTACATCTCGATCCTGAACTCAGGGGCCCTTGTTACCGAGTCAATGCTTCCCCACATCAACCCACATCACCCACATCGATCCTTTGGTGGGTGAACCGCTCGGAAAGCGAACTTGCCTTTCCAAAGGTGAAATCTTGTTAGAACCCTGTTGTGATCAGGACAGGCTTTGTTTTCATGCAGCTTGCAAGGGCCAGCCCTGCTCTTGTCAAAGGCAATTGTAAACATCACCTTTTGGGCCGTTGCTGTGGCCTTCCATACTGCGCCTCCGCGTCCGCACAGCAAAAGAAACCAAACCCCCAGAAAAAAAAAAGGTCGGAGCGCTTGTTGCGGTTGACCCCAGTTTTGCGGAGGGAACCCGAACCAAGGGGATTTACCTAAAAGTGACATCCTCAATACCCTCGAAAACGGGGGAAAAGAGGACCAGAAGCAACAAATTCTGATGCGCCCACAGGTTGGGGACCAACACTCCTATGAAAGGCAAAAGGACCTGCCCCACCGGGTGCGGCCCTTCCCTTACATTCTGGTCCTCAGGAAAGCAGAAGAGGTGTTGGACCGGCCCAGGAGTATCCCTTAGCAACACCTTCTTAAAGAATGAGCAGATGATAGCGTGTCCATTTGGGGTATGCAAGTTGGCCCTTAGGAGAAGAAAACAGAACAAGAACAACTGCAAACTCCTTGAAAAGTACAGTTTTAAAGCTGCCGAGACTAGCTGCCTGCCCATTCTGAGTCCCAAGAGAGCCCTCTGAGAAGGCACTTGTTGCTTTTGGCATCCTGCGGTTGTGGGATTCGGCTGGGCCACCAAGTCCGAGTCTCGCCCTTCCAACCCCTACGGGTGAACTCCCATGAAGTTTTGCAACTCTACACCTTGCACTGACTGGACAGCCGCGCATGAGTTGAGCTTTGAGCACACTAAACACTCAAACTGGACTCAGTTCCGCCAAGCGCAATGTGCAATAGGCGACAGTTGCTGCAAAAAGGGCCACCTCCTTTAGCAAACCATTGACCTGGACAAGCTGGACAAGCCGCGCTTGGGAGCGAGTTCGCGGCTTTCATCGCTTTTGTCCCCGATTGAAAAAAAAAAGAAAACAAAAAGAAAAACAAAAAAGAACCTGGAGCACCCGTCGTTACCTAAATTTCTGCCCTTAGCCCAAACGTATTGCAAAACCAGGGGTCGTCACCAAAATATGGTAAACGTACACTTTTTCCTACTTCGAGCGTTTTTCCCAAAATCGGGCTGGTCGGTCCTCCAAGATAATCGGTCGCTGAAATTTTCGAAAGGAGCGAGCAGAAATCGAAGTGCAAAACGAGCGCAAATATCCGCAAAACGAGCGCAAATATCCGCAAACGAGTGCAACAAAAAAAAACGTAACAATGCCCGCCTTCCTCTGGATGGAAGAAGGGGATTTGGTCGAGCGTTTTTCGGGGGGCGAGCGTTTTTTGGGGGGTCGAGCAGAAATCGGTAATTCGAGCGTTTTTTTCTCGTACCTAAAAAAAAAGGCACGTTGGGTGCCTCAGGAAGGAACAAAAACCGACCCGACCCCACCCCTCTGACTCCGTTCTCCGCTCTCTCCGTTCAAAGCGTCGGGGCGTCCCACTCCACCGCCAGCACGGGGCCATGGCACCCCGCGAGGCGCAGGGAGCCGCAGGCGGAGGGCGCGCAGGGCCCGGACCGCACCTCCACCTCCTCGGGCTCCGAGAGCCCCACCTCAGCCGCTTTGTTTTTGTTTTTGTTTTTCTCGCAGGGCTCCTCGTCTTCCTGTGGACATAGGTGTCCTGTTAGGGCAAATAGATGGGTTTCCCTGGTAGATGATTAAACCACCGGGTAAACCAGGGAATCGCCATCGATTATTCCTACCAAAACAAGCAAAAAAGAAACACCTATGCTTGTGGAGCTGAGGGTGCTGCACCAAACTTGGGACCACACGTTGTGTTGTAGCTGAAACAACGGGTTTGGTGGCGAGCCAGGAAACTGGGACCGAGCTGCCATGGGGGTGTAAGGTATGAATTCAAGTGAACAGGACTTAGCCTTTCCCCATACAAACCACCAGCCTGGACTGGTGCATGCATGGATAGTTGTGTGCTTCTCAAACAAAAGGCCTGCAGATGGGGGTCCACCATTGTATTTTTGGAAATCCCGCATAGATAATCTTAGATTCGGAGATGCAACCTATACTGCGGGGTCCGCTGTGTATGAAGTGTACGGGCTTTGGGGCACTTGATTTCTGGGAGCAAACTGTGGGCTACCCTGTGCTTGAGCTCATGAGCTCGTGCGCGCGGCCGGTTTCATAAGCGCAGGGTGAGAATCAGTCACCCTACCCTTATAGGCATAGGGGGCCGGGCGCATAAGCGCACAAATAAATACACTTGACTGGGGGGAGGGGACAAATCACACGCTCAAGGAAAGCGACGCAACAGTACCCCAGAGGGCACCCAACTTCTTCTGTTCTCAAGGGCATGTGTGGTCGATGTTTGGAGCCATCAAGAATTCTCACCTCCATACCTGCAAGCAACCCACAATTCGAAAATGCCTTTGAGTGAGCAGAAAAATACCTTTTCAAAAGGAAGCTCGTTTTAGCATGGGCCGCAAACAATCACCATCCCAAAGAAGCTTCCCCACTTCTGGCATGTCAGCCAAAATGCAGGTTCGTTGCACCGTTGCACCCCCAACGAAACATGATGACAGGACACGGAACTATCAGCCCAAAAAAACAAACACATTTTGAACAGTGAAGGACATCTAGGACGACTGGACGACTGGTCAACTCACCTCTCCTTTGCCTTCCTGACTAACATGGGACTTGACCTTTCGGGGTCCTGGAAGACCAGTTTCCGGTAGACCGTGGGTTCCGTGGACAGGAGGGTCGCCCCTATTCCTTGAAGATTCCTGGGGTCCTGGGCCCTCTCGAGAGTTTTCACCCGCCCGTGTCCCGGCCTCATTGACCGCGCACACGCGGAGCAGGTAGACCGTATCAGGCTTGAGCCCTTGCACTAAGAAGCCTCAGATCACCCCAGCCGCCGGTTGCCTCACAACCGAACCCTTTGCAACTAGAACCGGGAAAAAATGAGAACATACCGTGGATGGACGAAATCCATTTCGCACCACTTTGAAACCATGATCCAAAACATGTTGTGTTGGCATGTGCAGGCGAATCACCATTCAAGGGTTTCTTTGGTTTCTTAGGTGGTGCGGGATTTTGTCCATCCATGTCCAGTAGTGATAATTGAGGCCAAGGGTTCTTCGTGCGTGCATGCTAAATTGCACGAGCCCCCTGCGGGAAGGGATGAATAAGTGTTTTCAATACGTTGGGCAGAAAGAAGTAACACCTGCAACCCAGACTAAAAAATTGTAGTAAAACACTTATCCATCCCTTCTCGCAGGGGCTCGACTCAGATACTGCCCTGCAGCCCGCACTCTTTTTTCCGCTTCTCGCATCAAAACTGCACACTACCGTTTCGATTTGAACATCTGGCTGATGTTGCCAGACGGGGGCTCTTTTCTCTTCCGGCCAGCCTTCGCCTTGGGCTCCGGCTTGGGCTCCGGCTTGGGCTCCGGCTTGGGCCGCGCCTTTGCCTTTGCCTTGGCCTCTGGGACTGCAGCCTCACGGGCCTGGCGGGCCTTCTTTTTCGCCACCGCCTCTTGCTGGGGCTGGCTCGCCTTCCAATGGAGGAGGCATTTGGCTCAAATGGTCTGAGGTTGAATTTGATGAAGGCAGGGGGTGGTGGATAAAGCAAGTGAACCAAATAGACAACAGCGCCGTTCCGTCCAACTGCGCCTTGTCGCTGTTCAACTTCGCGTCCGCCTCAGCGCCCGCAGCGCCAGCAGGAGCCTCTGCATCAATCTTCTCGGTCTCCAGCATGCCCTGCGCAGCTATCGAAAAACACAACGTTGTTTGGGGAGGCCGTTGGAATTATGAAGCGTAGGGTAGGGGGTGGTGGCAAAATGAGTGAAGAAACACAACAACATCTATTCGTCCAACTGTGCCTCGTTGCTCTTCAACTTCGCGTCCGGCTCAGCGCCCGTAGCGCCAGCAGGACCCTCTGCGTCAATCTTCTCGGTCTCCAGCACGCCCTGTGCAGCTGTAGAAAATCACAGCGTTCTTTGCCGAGGCCGTTGGAATTATGAAGGGTAGGGTCGGGGGTGGTGGCAAAATGAGTGAAGAAACACAACAACATCTATCCGTCCAACTGTGCCTTGTTGCTCTTCAACTTCGCGTCCGGCTCAGCGCCCGTAGCTCCAGCAGGAACCTCTGCATCAATCTTCTCGGTCTCCAGCATGGTCTCCAGCACGTCCTGCGCAGCTATAGAAAATGACAACATTCTTTGGGGAGGCCGTTGTCAGGGTGGGTGGTGGAAAAATTAGTGAAAACCAAGAATACAGCAGCTATCTGTCCAACTGCGCCTCGTTGCACTTCAACTTCGCGTCCGGCTCAGCGCCCGCACCAGCAGGAACCTCTGCATCAATCTTCTCGGTCTCCAGCATGGTCTCCAGCACGTCCTGCGCAGCTATAGAAAATGACAACATTCTTTGGGGAGGCCGTTGTCAGGGTGGGTGGTGGAAAAATTAGTGAAAACCAAGAATACAGCAGCTATCTGTCCAACTGCGCCTCGTTGCACTTCAACTTCGCGTCCGGCTCAGCGCCCGCGCCAGCAGGAACCTCTGCATCAATCTTCTCGGTCTCCAGCACGCCCTGCGCAGCTATCCAAAAACACAACGTTGTATGGGGAGGCCGTTGCTACGATGAAGGTACTGGATAAGAATGAGTGAACTAAATACATATCAACATCTATCCGTCCAACTGCGCTGTGCCTTATTGCTCTTCAATTTCTCGCTCGGCTGCGCGCCCGCGGCGCCAGCAGGAACCGCTTCCGGGATGGTCTCCAGCAAGTCCTGCGCAGCTACAGAAAATGACAACATTCTTTGGGGAGGCCGTTGTCATTGTCTCTTCAACTTCGCGTCCGGCTCAGCACCCGTAGCGCCAGCAGGAACCTCTGCATCAATCTTCTCGGTCTCCAGCACGCCCTGCGCAGCTGTAGAAAATCACTGCGTTCAGGATTCAGGCCGTTGTCATTGTGAAGGGTGCGGGTGGTGGCAAAATGAGTGAAGAAACACAACAACATCTATCCGTCCAACTGTGCCTCGTTGCTCTTCAACTTCGCGTCCGGCTCAGCGCCCGTAGCGCCAGCAGGAACCTCTGCATCAATCTTCTCGGTCTTCAGCACGCCCTGCGCAGCTGTAGAAAATCATAACGTTCTTTGGGGAGGCCGTTGTTATTATGAAGGGTAAGGGTGGTGAATAAAATAAGTGTTGGGTGAACAAAATAAATTAAAAACATCTACCCGTCCAAAATCGCCTCGTTGCTCTTCAACTTTGCGTCCGGCTCAGCGCCCGAGGCGCCAGCGGAAACCTCTGCATCGATCTTGTCGGTCGGAAGCTTGGCGTGTGCCTCAGCGTCCGCGGCGTGAGCATGAAACTCTTTGTCAATCTTCTCGGTCTCCAGCTTCGCGTCCGTCTTTGAGCCCGCTGCATCCGCGGCACCAGGGCCCTCATGGGCTTCCAGTTCCACATCCTGCAACGTTTCCTCAACTTGCCTATGTTTTCAACTTTTGAAGTATGATACTACTTGAGGGTTAAAGGTGAGGGTTTAAAGATTGGTGGAGCAGTTGGTGGAGCTTTATAAGGGACATCAAGATCACTGCCTACGGCCTACGGCGACTCCGCCAGACCTAAAGCAGGCACGAAGTATTGTACGGCACTTTAGGCTATTGGGTTGAAGGCTTAGATATTTGTGGACCAAGAGCACTGCCCAAGGCCTACGGCGACTCCGCCAGACCAAAAGCAGGCATGAAGTATGATACTACTTGAGGGTTAGAGTTGAGGGTTTAAATATTGGTGGAGCAGTTGGTGGAGCTTTATAAGGGACATCAAGATCACTGCCTACGGCCTACGGCGACTCCGCCAGACCTAAAGCAGGCGCGAAGTACTGTACGGCACTTTAGGCTATTGGCTATTGGGTTGAAGGCTTAGATTTTTGTGGACCAAGAGCACTGCCCAAGGCCTACGGCGACTCCGCCAGACCAAAAGCAGGCATGAAGTATGATACTACTTGAGGGTTAGAGTTGAGGGTGACGCTTTGGCCAGCACTCATATGAAGCCCCAGCCCTGGCGCCGGGCTAGCGCTGCCGGTGGGATTTACATGATTTAGGTGGGGGCCCGCTTCATTTCGAAAAGGAAAAGCCAAGACGCAACAGGAATTATGCACGTACTGTATGTAGCTCCTTAGCCGGCCTTTTTGAACGGAAGCCATATGTATATATATATATAACATACATCTGCCATCACAAAGGTCCCCTTGCACATGCCCCCCAAGCTAGCAGCTGGCGCCGGTGCTCGGCCCCTTCTTGGGTGAGATTCTTATAACCTTACCAATTTCCGGGAATGATTTACATGGACACTCCCACCACTCAACTCACCTACCTGCAAGATAAACTCGGACTCGGAAACATAAAGCAGAGTCAAGATTGCCAGCCAACTCAACTCAACCTGAAACCGGGGGCCAAAACAAGTGACATCGCCCACGCACCTCCTGCTCGCTGTCACTCCCCCGGCGGGCGGCCATGTCCAGGATGCTGGGCACTGGCGGTTGTGCTTCCGCGACCGGGACACACTTCAGGAAGAGCTCCGTGTAGTTCTTCACCCTTACCTGATACACAAGCATCCCGAGATCCGAGGCCTTTCCGAAACACGATGCCATCGCAACCACTCCTTTCAATTGCCACTAGCACTGAAACAGCGAGTCTTCAATAAAGTTGGCCTGGTCGGCCACCATTCGCAAGGAGGCGTTGCACTGGTCTGGCAAGTGCATCCCGAAGATCCTGCAGAGTGTGGGAGGCAAGCATCGATACGATTGGAACGGGTGCCAGCAAGACCAACCTTGGACAACCGCACCAGCCATGCCAGCCTCAGGGCCACGTCAGTGTCGTGCACCGCTTTTTCCAGCAGCAGGTACCCGCCCGGCAGCACTAGGACGTCTCCTGTCCGAAGAAACACTGCGCCCAACGAGGGCATCGCAAGTTCGTCTGGCACGTCTTTCGCCTGGAGCGCCTGCATGTGACGTCGTATGTCTTGCAGGCTCTCCGTACGCCAGAACGTGGATGCCTCCAGAGCAGAACACGCGATGAGCATCTTGCCTCCGGTGACTTGTAGTCGGATTGTTGGCAGCGCCTGCGCATCAATGCCATTGTAGGTGGTCCCCTCGCGGCTGCCCAGCAACCACACACCCCGAAGGCTTTGCATGGCTGTGTCATCCTCGGAGTTCTTCTCAAGTTCAGCCTCCTGCAAGCTGCAGGGCCCCACCATTATCAACCATAGCTGAAAAGCAAGCAGAACTTGTGGCAAACATTCCGCCTACACCCCTTGCTTGACACCAGAAAACAAAGCCGAAGTTATTGTCAACAACCGGCGTGCAGCGCATCCAGCGAACGGCAAAAAAAACACGGGGCTGGAATAACCACCTGCCACCGACATGTGCGCGAAGATCATTTCCAGGCCAAAGCAAAAGGATGAATGAAATAATGACCTTTGTCAGAATAGCAACCCCAATCCCAAGCAGGTCGTAATGAAATAACCCTAGGTGCAAAAGTTGTAGATGGGTGTCAGCGTCGGACTGAAGAGTTGTTGGGGGGCAGGGGGACCAGTCAAAATCCAACCCTGGTCTTGTTCCCTTTGACTTGGGGGGCACGCTCCGTTACGCCAGTCACGCTCAGTCACGCGGAGTCGAAAATAGACTCAATGCAAACGGGGAAGGGTCACGCGCGATTGCGCCCAGGCACGCGGAATCAATACTCAGCTACACAAACGCTCAGCAGAACTAATAGCACTAAACTCGCATCACGCATGCGTGATCACTTCGCTCGGACTGCGGCAACGGTGCGTGCGCACCGGTATGCATGGAACGTACCGTGGGATGGTGCTTGCGGGGCCGTGCGTTTGGGCGATC